CCAATCTGTTGGTTGCTGTTTTGTCCTATTGAAAGTGTCCTTTGCCTTACAGAAGCTTTGCAATTTTATGAGGTCTCATTTGTCAATTCTTGATCTTAGAGCATAAGTCATTGGTGTTCTGTTCAGGAGCTTTCCCCCTGTGTACATGTGTTTGAGGCTCTTCCCCACTTTCTCTTCTATTACTTTCAGCAGTGTATCTGGTTTTATGGTGAGGTCCTTGATCCACTTGGACTCGAACTTTGTACAGGGAGATAAGAAAGGATCAATTTGCACTCTTCTACATGCTGACTTCCAGTTGAAGAGCACCATTTGTTGAAAATGCTGTCTTTTCTACTGAATAGTTTTTAGCTCCTTTGTCAAAGATCAAGTGACCATAGATGTGTGGGTTCATTTCTGGGTCTTCAAGTCTATTCCACTGATCTTCTTGCCTATCTCTGAACCAATACCATGCAGTTTTTAATCACTACTGCTTTGTAGTACAGTTTGAGGCCAGGGATGGTGATTCCCCAAGATGTTCTTTTATTGTTGAGAATAGTTTTCTATATCCTGGGCTTTTTGTTATTCCAAATGAGTTTGAGGGTTGCTTGTTCTAACTCTATGAAGAATTAAGTTAGAATTTTGATGGGGATTGCATTGAATCTGTAGATTGCTTTTGGCAAGATGGACATTTTTACTATATTAATCCTGGCAATGCACGAGCATGGGAGATCTTTCCATTTTCTGAGATCTTCAATTTCTTTCTTCAGAGACTTGAAGTTCTTGTTATACAGATCTTTCCTTTGCTTGATTAGATTCACACCAAGGTATTTTATATTATTTGTGACTATTGTGAAGGGTGTCATTTCCCTAATTTCTTTCTCAGCCTGTTTATCCTTCGAACAGAGGAAGGCTACTCATTTGTTTGAATTAATTTTATGTCTAGCCACTTTGCCTAAATTGTTTATCATGTTTATAAGTTCTCTTGTGAAGGTTTTGGGGGTCACTTAAGTATACTATCATATCATCTGCAAATAGTGATATTTTGACTCCTTCTTTTCCAATTTGTGTCGCTTTCACCTCCTTTTGTTGTTTAATTGCTCTGACTAATACTGTACTGTATTGAATAGGTAGGGAGAGAGTGGGCAGCTTTGTCTAGTCCCTGATTTTAGTGGGATTGCTTCAAGTTTCTGTCCATTTAGTTTGATGTTGGCTACTGGCTTGCTGTATATTGCTTTTACTATGTTTGGGTATGGTCCTTGAATTTCTGATCTTTTTAGGGCTTTTACCATGAAGAGCTGTTGAATTTTGTCAAATGCTTTCTTAATATCTAGTGAGATGACCATGTAGTTTTGTTTTCTTTGAGTTTGTTTATATAGTGGATTATATTGATGGATTTCTGTATATTGAACCATCCCTGTATTCCTGGAATATAGCCTACTTTATCATTATGGATGATTGCTTTGGTGTTTTCTTGGATTCTGTTTGTGCGAATTTTATTGAGTATTTTTGCATCGATAACAGAGATTGGTTTGAAGTTCTCTTTCTTTGTTGGGTCTTTGTGTGGTTTAGTTATGAGCGAAATTGTGGCTTCATAGAATGAATTGGGTAGTGTTCCTTCTGCTTCTATTTTGTGGAGTAGTTTAAAGAGAATTGGTATTACGTCTTCTTTGAAGGTCTGATAGAATTCTGCACTAAAACCATCTGGTCTTGGGCTTTTTTTGGTTGGGAGACTTTTAATGATTGGTTCTATTTATTTAGGGGTTATGGAACTGTTTAGATGGTTTATATGACCCTTATTTAACTTTGGTACCTGGTATCTGTCTAGAAAAATTGTCCATTTCATCCAGATTTCCCAGTTTTGTTGACTATAGGCTTTTGTAGTAGGATCTGATGGCTTTTTGAACTTCCTCGAGTTCTTTTGTTATGTCTTTCTTTTCAGTTCTGATATTATTAATTTGGATGCTGTCTCTGTGCCCTCTGTTTAGTCTGGCTAAGGGTTAATCTATCTTGTTGATTTTCTCAAAGAACCTGCTCGTGGTTTTGTTCATTCTTTGTATAGTTCTTTTTGTTTCTACTTTGTTGATTTCAGCCCTGAGTTTGATTATCTCCTATGGTCTATTCCTCTTGTATGTATTTGCTTCTTTTTGTTCTAGAGCTTTTAGGTGTGCTGTCAAGTTGCTAGTGTATGCTCTCTCCAGTTTCTTTTTGTAGACACTTAGAGCTATGAGTTTCCTCTTAGCACTGCTTTCATTGTGTCCCATAACTTTTGGTAACATGTGCCTTTATTTTCATTAAATTCTAAAAAGTCTTTAATTTTTTTATTTCTTCCTAGACCAAGTTATCATTGAGTAGAGTGTTGTTCAGTTTCCATGTATATGTGGGCTTTCTGTTGTTTTTGCTGTTATTGAAGACCAGCCTTAGTCCTTGGTGATCTGATAAGATGCATGGGTTTATTTTGTATTTGATATATGAATGTGAGTCAGTATGGTCTGTTGGTTGATGGTTTATGTGGATAGGCTTATTTGTGTCTTCTAAAACTAGGAAAGGGCAAAGAACTTGTGCTATGAGAGAGAAAATTACAGAATTTTCTGATCATTAAAGTCAAATACAAGGGGAAGTAAAACTAAAACTGGACCTTGGAAGGTGATGAATGCACTTTCAAAAACTGATGATAATGTCAACTCTATTGAGGCTGAAGGTGATGTCTTTCTAGACACACTGAAGTTAAAATATAAGCAGAGGTTTCATCGGCACATCCAGGAGACCTTAGATTTCCTCTGTAGCTCAAGAGAAAATGTAGTCTAGTCCCAGATGGGGAAATCACTACAGAAATTATGAGATCTTGGTCATGAGTGAACTGTAGTGGAAGGAGACTAGAAAGAGATCCTGTACTGGGAACAGAATCACTGGAAAAGTCTCATGGCAGATTCCCAAAAGAAAACAACTGTAAATTAAACTGAATCAACATTTAAATATCTTTGTATTTTTAAAAATATATTTTAATTGAGATATAATTACATCATTTTACTCCTTCCTTTCCCCCCTCCAGCTCCTGTTCCTTCAAAGAGTCTATAAGGAAGCCCTCATGCCTCACTGGACAACAATAGGGGGACCGGAGCCATTACAAGGTCCCCTTCAATTACTGGAGGTCAGGCCTCTATCCCTACCTTCGCAAGATTAGAATTGCCACAGCCCTTCTATTCTTAGAGAAGGGAGGAGATGTCAGGGGCAGCCCTGCTTACACACTGAGGGCCTAAAATCAACCATAGGCCTAAAATCAGCAATAGGCCTGTCATACATGTATACTAACACCAAGTCTTGGGTCTCTGTGGAAAAATATTGAATCAGATGGCTATAAGCTAATGTAAATGGGCAGCTTTTGTGGAAATCTACAAGCCTGAGTAGTCATAGACCTTGTAAATAGGTAGCCTTGGCAGACAATACCAACTTAGATAAGGACAAGCGAGTCATAGGCAGAGTCATAGTGACTTGTCCCCTGAACCTTCACCCAGCCGATACCCGGTTCTGAAGATATCTGTATTCCCCCTGAACACCCACACTCCAGTGTCATTCCCTTCCCCACATCCTGCCTTTCTGCGTTTATAAGCCCTGTGTGAGTGAATTATGATTTGAGAAAAAAATAAATTATAAAAAAAGAAAACAAACAAAAAACAAAAAACAAAAAACAAAACAAAACAAAAAGAGTCTATAAGGAAAACCACAGATGGGAATAAAATATTGCATGGAGCATATATACATAGATATAAGGTAGATATGCATATATATGTTTGTATATGTATGTTTGCATATATATGTTTGCATATGTGTATATATTATATATAATGACATGAAAGCAGAGAAAAGACTAGAGGAAGGAAGCAGAAAAAGGCAGAGATTCAAGGCAGGAGATAAAAGGAGTTTTCACTATGGCCAAAACACTTGAAAGTATCTGTGAAATAAAACCACATACAATGTCTCAGTTTGAGAATAAAGTCACTGAGCTCCAGAGTCTGTCTCAGCGGCTATGGCATTCTTGGTCTCTCCAGCCACCAGGACAATGTACTGAACACTTATGCTGTGCCCATTGTTCCATTGTATATCATAGTGACATACAGAGCCAATTAAATATGGTTTCTTTATGGATGAGCTTAAAACCTAGAAAGACAACTCATTGTTCATGAAACACTTGACTACATCCAGCCTTGTTCAATCTTAATAAAAAGTTTGATACATAAAGAACATCATATCTCCATGGAAGGACAGGGTCTAGCTATGGCAATTAGCGATTACTGAAACTGTTCTGAGACTGAGATTACAGTGGAAAAGGTTACTAGAATTCAGATGAGGAAGACTTTGACCTTCTATGGAATAGTCTAGATTTTTCTATAATCTATTATACCACTTAAAACATATTTATTATAAATCTATTTCGTGCTTGCTAGGGCCTTATATTCTGCTTTGTTTCTAATAACTTGGTAAAAGTGAGGATGATTCATATTCCTGACATGACTGAGCTAATTCAATTATCCTCCTATGTTAGGACCCCCACTGCACAATGTGCAGGCCACCCATTCTTAGGTATCATCTCAACAACACTAAAATCTCACCCTTATGTGTCCTGAATTATTCTTTGATTTTGTGCTTGATTTGCATAAAGTAGGTGATCAGGATAGATAGCAAGGACGAAAGCCACAGAAACATTTTGATTAATGGACTCCGATTAAAAGAAAATAATGTCTCTGAAGCCGCAGCAACAGAAGCCAGCTTGTGAGATGGCGTCTGCCCTTAAATCTCACCTCAGTCTGGAATGACGTCAAATGTGTGTGCACCTAAACGCCTCTGCTGCAGCTAGGGAGGGGGTCACACAGAAGAGGAAAGACAGCAGAAAAAATGAGAAAGCAATAGAGAAATAAAATGCAGAGGGAAGGAAAAAAACCAGAATGAGCAAGCAAGATCAGTGGAGATGTGAAGCTGTGAAGGATCAAAGGGAGGGGGAGGTAAAGCCAGATTTTTATTGGAAGCAATCGAAGTGGTTGCTATGAGACCCGCTCCAGCAGAGGACCAGCAGGCAGCCTGTCGCTGATGGTTCTTGTCGTGCACCAAAGCTTTCCTTTGACACAGTTTTAGAGTTGTTTACTATCTGAGCAAGCACCTGACACGGTGACTCTTTTCTTTCTTTTTTTCCTCCTCGGGTCCCCCGAGTAAGATGGAAGTAGAAAACGAAGCCCACTGCTGCCCTGGCAGCTCATCAGGCGGGTCCAGAGAGTACAAGGTGGTAATGCTGGGAGCAGGGGGCGTTGGTAAAAGCGGTAAGTTTCCAAACGCCGGGGGAAGGAGGGATCCATATAGAGACAGCTGTATAGACCATGGCAGCTAACAGAAGAGCATCTGGTAGGGTGATTAAAAGTAAAGACTTAAGGGGGAAGCTCCTGAATTAGGAGAATTCAGAAACCGCAGCCAGGATGTGCAGAACTTTAAGAGGATAATTTGCTCCTTTAATTTTATGCTGAGTAATATTTGTTCTGTGTTTTTTATGGTCTTTAAATTAGTGATGAAATCAGACAGCCCCGTGTGAGTGAAATGTTTGACTATTCTCAAAAATACACAAATGAAAACAAAAATTCTGTGGATATTTAGATAAAGAGATAGATACAAACACAGGTACATCCCTCAGTGTTTTCAGTGACGTTGTTTGCTTGTGTTTCGGTGAAAAAGGTCCTGTCTTCTCTGCTTTTCTGTGTCTGCCATTGCACACGTAGGCTTTGGGTACTGAGAAAAAGTTGGATTTTGAAAATGGTAGTGGTTTAATTTTTTTTTTTTTTTTTTTTTTTTTTGCTCTGGATGACAAGCAAAGCCACACTTAGTGGTTAAGCAAATTAGAAGAAGATGCGAGAAGGAGTCTGAGGTAGTAATGAGATGAAGGCTTGAAAATTCATGCTGGTATAGCATAGCAGAGCTGCCAATGGTTTGTTTCTACAGGAGCTTAAAGCACCAACTATATCAGATACCCAGTGACACTTCAAGCTGAGCTTCTCACAGCTTGGTTATAAATACGACACGGGTTGGTAATAAGCACTCCAAATAAACAAGAAAGGATACCCACTAGGGATGATGTGTTTATGTGGAGTGAGCCTGGACAAATATTACCAAAGAATTCAATATTTTAGTTCATGAAAATAAGATCCAAAGTTGAGGACAAGCAAATATCTAACAGGAAGGTGAGAGGTGAAGGGAGGGGAAAAACAGTGACTATCATGTACAGGAAATATAAAGAGGTCAGGAAAATAATAATAGACAGAAATCTCCTCTTCTATCCAAATATAATCTACCAAGAAGTGGGGGTAGGGTGTCAGGTAGATCTAAAAGGGATGAGTGGTAAAGGAAGGGGAGTCAAGTCATCTAGGAAAGTAGTATGGAATGGAAACCGTTAGAACTCTGCGAATGAGGAATTAAAAACATATTATTTTCTGTGTAAGCAAGCTATGGCTTAAGATGGAAAATAAATGATGTGTAGATTTAAAGAGAGAAATGATAGAAGGTTATGATTTTTACACACACACAGACAAGAGAGAGAGAGAGAGAGAGGAGAGCTAGAGAGAACATGTTAAACAGGTTGAAGACCATTAGCCCCAGTCTTCCCCTGGCGACATGTGAGCTGGCTGAGGCAGATGTGACAAGAATCTGAGCATCCACATATCATTCAAGAGCTGGCTGACGTTGCCTTGACTCTACAGGACAGAAGGGACATGGAGAGAGAGCCACTTGTCAGCCCATTTCCTGGTCTTAGAGCTGGATCTTGGAGCTGAAGCTGCTGCTAGTAGCAACCTCCAGTAGGCCAGTTACTATGTGATTTTGTGATGTGTAATGCAGTCTGTTTGATCTTCCTTCCTGATGATTTTATGATAATTCATTTTTACCATCCCAATAGCTGGAACATTTCAAACTGTTTTTATCTTCACTTTACATGAAAGAACATTTATCACCAAATACTGGAACAAAAATTTCCAGTGTAATCTAGACAGGATGAGGCAGCTGGCCTTTGAAGAAGGTGAGGAGTAAAGGGTATCCCTGTGGTTACTCTGCTTAAATGGCATCTCGGATAAGACTTCAGAGAATATCACACATTTCCATACCAGGAGAATGTCCTTTGTGATTTATAATGATGGAATAAATCTCGCTCTGGAATGTCTCTGGTTTATTTAGGGCTATTAGTATGTAAACATTCAACCACAGATCTCATTACTAATCTCTTGCATGTCAAAATGTTTGCCTTCAAATAAACTAAAATGTCTTTATATGCCACTTTCCATGTGGTTGAAGATTTGAACCAATCGAGAAATTTCTGGGACTATCCAGCCTTCACCATTTTGTACTGTGTGAGGATGTTTGGGAGAGATCCCCTCTGAAGAAGCTAAGGAAGCTACATGAAATTATTTATTCTCAGTTCTGAGGATCAGGCCAGAGTAATCACTGAACTAGAACAAGAAAATCAATATACTGGCACAAAATTATTAGATGAACAAAATTCTAGAGAATTTTTATACCTATTGAGAAATTACATTGCTTTTTAGATCATGTTTCACTATGGAAGCATAATACGACGAGCCAAAACATTTGAAAAGACTTGTTACTTTGCTGAAATAACAGTTTCTACAACATTTACCATGTGTAGGTTTTTGCGTGGGAAAATTTCAAACTACAAGTAAACAATCAAGTTTATTGAACATCTGCTATGCACAGATCTTCAGTGGCTACTCTAATGGGAGAAAGGTGGGGAAAGCAGACACTTAGGAAGAACACAGTAGTAGCAACATAGGCAACATATATTAGAAGCTTATGTTTACTCTTCACAATGGTAATAAGGTGTATCTCCAGCTAATAGATTGAAAATGATGCAACAACTTTTACCTAGTCAGAATAAGTAAAACAGACTTCCAAGGCACTTCATCCAACTCTACCACACTAATTTTCTATATTGAGGAAGAAGAACAAAGACTTCTTTAAGTCACCATCAAAAAGAAAATAGGGCTCTTACTAATGCAATATTTTACCTTGAAAGTTGTAACAATAAATGTTAATCATCTATACCAAAACTCTAAGTCTGTGCCAATTTGAATTTTGAATTGATATAGTCAATATTATATACAATATTTAATCTGTATAAATATAAAAATGTAAGCATATTTATATAATTATCATATTCAAATATTGTCCAATAATGTTTTCAAGTGCAGAAATATTAACAAATAACATATCCATCGTATTTAAATAACAGAGAAAATGAGAGTTGAAGGGACTTGTTACTCACAGGAGAGGTAGATGATTTGTATCTAGAACACAACTTCCTCTACGCACTGATGTGCGTCTCTATCATTGACTTTACAGAAAATGACACAAAGAAAACTGGACCACACAACATGCATAGAAAGCAGCATCTCTGTAGGACGTGGTCTGTAGACTTAATATGCTATGAAGAATATAGACAATGCTATCACATTGTGTCTAAATTTTGTGAAACCAGTGATTTTTAGATGTTCTTGTCACACAGGAAAACAAATGAACAAATGAATGAATGAATGAATGAATGAATGAATGAATGGAAACATACAGGATAAGTGTAAAGTGAGGAGTGCACTGCTTGTTTCGGTTTGGCGTGATCAAACATGCTATTTACATGCGTCACACTGGATGCATGTAACTGAAACACAATCATGTGCTCTGTAGTAGATTTTTGCTCCATGGTGACAGTTCCATGAGATTATAATTGAGCAAAATAACCCTTCTGATGTAGTCATCCTAATATCATAACATAATGCTCTACTCATGTGTTTGTGCTGATACTGGGATATATAATATAAATAATACTGACATAAATAATTATTTAGGGTACATAAAACAAAATAGTGATAATTAACTACTATGTTAGTAGTTCAGATATTTTAAATTATTTCCATTTATTCATTGTGTGTGTGTGTGTGTGTGTGTGTGTGTGTGTATAGCACCACAGCATGTGTTTGTTGGTCAGAGGACAACATGTTTTCTCTTCTCACTATGAGTCTTGGGGATCCAACTCAGATCTTCAGGCTTGGTGGCTAGTATCTTTATCTGTCTCACCAGCTTTTGGTTATATATTTCTTATCTTATATTTTTGATATTATTCTAAATAAGTATTTATACATATGCAAATGTGTATATGATATACTCTTGGCATATATAAGATATATTATGTAAGTTTATGTGTCTTTACTCATGATACTTGCAGAATGACAAGTGACATACTTGTTAGATAGTATCTTGGTAATTACCCAACACACGGCTGCATGTGTATTAGTAACTGCTTTCACAATAATTACGCTAAGATTCATGATATGGACACTGCTTTTAAAGAAATCAAGTGATGCACAAAGAACTACTGGCAATGAAGAAATACTAAGAATAGGAGAAGTAGTTTTCTTAGAGGAGCACACTAATTGTGTACACACACACGTATGTAACATTATAATGGTAATTGTGTGTGTACATATATATATATATATATATATATATATATACACTCTTGGTGTATATATGATATATTATGTAATATTACAGAGTGAACAGGTTGTACTTATAGATTTGGGAATATATGTGTATATACAAATATGAATGTAGCAACAATTGATAAAAGAAGGTCATGAATTTGAAAGATGTCAAGGAGAGGAATATGAGAGGGTTTGGGGTCAGGAAAGGGAAGGGACAAATTTCATAATTATACTCTAAAAAAAGAAAATAATTAAAAATAAAAATGAGAAAAAGAATGTATAGTTAATATGTATGAGCCTATTACTTATAAGAAGAGCAGATGAAGTGCTTATGTGTTTGTATCTGATGATGTTAGAGCAAATGAGAGTAGAGCAAACCCATGTGTGCCCTGCGTTGTGCATATGACTGAAAGTGAAGAGAACAGAACAATTGGATTAGACCAATGAGCTTTGAGGTGTGCCATGTACATTCTTTGCCTCTGTCTCTCTTTGTTGCTGAGCCATCACACTCTCTTCTCATTTAGAAAAAGAAAAAGAGAAATCTCACAGATGTAGTTGAAGAGTTTTACTGAAGCTAAGTAGTCTTTAAACCTGTTTAAAACACTGACTTTTATCTTTGTGATTTGAGAATGTTCTTCTTGAATCTTGGAGTGCTGGGCTGCTGGTTGTTTTCCTTGGGTTCAAAAGTGGCTCATCCAGTGCTCACATCAGCAGATCCTAACTAGCAATATTGCTTTCATATTTTCCAAATTATGTAATATCATTCATACTTACAATACTATTTGATG